GAGTGCACTTATGTGGCGTGTTGTGAAATTAGAAATTCTTTGGGGCACCATCTCAGTTTCCATAAATTATGGAAGTACGTTCTTACTCTGTAAAATCAACAGGGTTATTTTTGCTGCAAACGAGAGCTCAGCCACTGGTCTGTGGAGTGACCTCAGACATCTCCCTTCGCTGAGACTGCTGCTCTTCGGGGACAGAGCCGTTTCTCACCCTCTCATTCAGGGGCCACCCTGATCCAGGCTGCACTCTTTAAATATCGCTACAGTGCAAGTCGCTGATCGTTCAGTAATGTGGGAAGGCTCAAGCAGCGGAGACACATTCTTTTCCTTAATCTGTTCTGACTCATCACTTCTTCAGGGTACGCAGTGGAAGGTAGAAGCTCAAATTCGGTCCCAGCACAAGGATCTAAAGGACTTCATAAATCTGAGTGACACCTTTCGCACGGATATTAGTGAAAATGAAATGCATTATTGCAAGAACTTTCTGCCAGCAAACAAAAGCAAGTGCAGAGCCCATATAGTTGGGAACGGGGAGGGGGTGTGGGAAGGGAAGAGTGCCCAGAATAGCCTCAGAGAAAAAGATTTCATCCTGAGGAACAGGAAAGGATACACAGATCCATAAAGTCATCTCTTCTCCACCATGATATAATGGATTTTTTAAGCGAATAATTAGGTTGATGAGCTAATTCCATTACCACCTATCACGGTGATTAATGTTGCCCGATCACCGCTTTGCAGTGCTCTCTACCATCTAAATACTGCCTTCCATGTTGTTAAATGATGGCTCTTTGGGTCAGGGACTGTCCTCAGGGTTATGTTCGTGCCATGGGCCTGTGGTCCTGGACGAGGCACTACAGGAATAGCTTGTCCTGCCTGACTGCCCAAGGGGTTCAGTGCACGGCACCAGCTTCCCATGCTTCCTTCTCTCTTCTGCAGAATGACCAGAAAACCTTCTTGTGCAGGAGGATCTATGCAAGGACTCAGCATCACTTAGTAACAGTTACCCACTCATTCTTATGAGCCACACAAGAAAAGGAATGAGAGACCATGACGTGTCCTACCAGGACAGAATAACTAGCCCTGAGCTGATATTTGGGAACTCTCAGCAGTTTTTGATGAGTTCTATTGCTATATCTAAAATGAGTAAGAGAACTACCAATCATACTTATGAACATCTTTTACAAGCAAGTGTTCTAGACTTTTTGAGAGAAAAAGAAATAAAAACTGACTCAACTGGAGTTTTGATTTAAATAGGATGACTCAGCAAATACTCCAAGAAGAAACACTTCTAAGCCACTGTGGTCATTTAAACTGCAATCAAGACATTAAAATACTGGCTTGAAAAGTGTCTTAGGGTTAACACATATGGAGGGAAATATATTGGAGGGAAATGAGGAAAGCAAAGAGAAAAGGATAGACAAGGACCTGTTGGAGCGGGGCCAGAGGAGGCCCCAGCAATGATCCGAGGGCTGGAACCCCTCTGCTGGGAGGAAAGGCTGGGAGAGCTGGGGCTGGTCAGCCTGAAGAAGAGAAGGCTGAAGGGAGACCTTAGAGCAGCCTTCCAGTATCTGAAGGGGCCTGAGAAAGAGCTGGAGAGGGACTTCTTACATGGGCATGGAGCGATGGTACAAGGGGTGATGGCTTCAAGCTGAAAGAGGGGAGATTTAGATTAGATCTAAGGAAGAAATTCTTCACTATGCGGGTTGTAAGGCCCTGGCCCAGGTTCCCCAGAGAAGATGTGGCTGCCCCCTCCCTGGCAGGGTTCAAGGCCAGGTTGGACGGGACTTTGAGCACCCTGGTCTGCTGTAAGGTGTCCCTGCCCATGCCAGGGGTGTGGGAACCGGATGATCTTTCAGGTCCCTCCCAAGCCAAACCATTCTATGATTCTGTAAGATGGAGCAGAAAGGGACACCTGAGGGCCTGCAAGCTGAGTTTGCTGTTCTCACTGAGTTAGAAAGAAAGAAACCAGAAGGTCCCAAGCCCTTTGCTGGAGCAGCAGCTGCTGCCACCTCAATCTTCAGCATCAAGGATGGGTGAAAAAAGCAACAGTATCAGGGCAGTTTTACTCTCTACTTTGGCAAAGTCGGCCCTCCTGGAGCCCTTCCAACCCTCTGAAAGGTTTTGTTCATGTTCCCAGCTGCTGTAGATGTATATTTACTGTGTTTAAATAGTATGTCCTTCCTGCATGTTCCCACTTGGCCAGCTGACCGTGAAGAGATACTCAGCAACAAAACAAGATGCTTTGCTTGAGAAATTCCGAAGCAGAGATATGACCTGAAATTGTACATCTATCTTAAAATAGAGACTGTCATGGCAGAGTCAAGTTATCTGTATTACAGGGGACTGAAAAGTAGTCTAATATATATCCATTATTTATATCATGCATATATAAGACTACATACCTTCTTTAATCCACAAGAAATATTTTTTTTTTATGCCACTTCTGTACCATGAAAGGCTTATTGATTGGGCTGGATTTTTAACCAGACACAATTTGCTTAAGAAAACAACAAATGATAAGCCATCAGAAGTATTTACTCACACCCAAAAAAGTGATTCGGAGTTTTGCTCACCAGAACAAGCAGACAGCGGAATTTAGGGAGTCAAACAGGTGAAACTCCTAACACACAACGGCCCTGTGAGCTGCCAGCCAGCAGCTGTTCACACAGTAGCTCAGCAAGTGGCTTCAAAACACCGATAGCAGTTTTACATTAGGAAAACAAACTAACCAACTCTTATCACGGTAGGAAAAGCAGATCACTGGGAAAACTGGGATGTCCTCAAATGGAGATTTTTTCTTTAACATCAGGCTCATCATTCAGATTTACAGGACCTTGCTTTTGGCCAGAAGCATCACAGACCTCTTGAGGTTCCTTTCATTCCTGAGAGCCAGTAATATGCAGCTCACTTCCCTCTTCTGCCTGGGCTGCCTCACCTTTTTAGAGCTATATACTATTAAGACTTCTGAAACTTAATTAGGCTGATTACTGAAGTGTTTATAGTCATATTTTATCCTGAATAAAACAACTTCAGTGTCAGTATGTGGAAACGATGAGAGAGGGAATTCATCCAGACAGTATTACAGAATTCCCACATATTTCCAAGTGGGTGCTGTCAGGTTTTTCTGACAGCAGACAGGTGACGGACCAGTCAGTCCTTCACTATCAGGGAACAAGTCCTTCCTTCATGATGGCAGTTTCACAAGAGCTGCAGGGGAAGGTGTGCACATGAAGGGGGAAAACACTGGATTCTCTTCTTGTCTTCTTGTTTAGATCAATTACCTCCATACGTTAAACAACCACTCCCCTGCCCCATTTTTATATAGTAAATAAAGCAAACCATCACCAAATAAGTGCTTTGGATTCTGCAAGATCCCTTGTAAGGTGTGACACATAACTGAACGTAGCATTTCAAACACACCATTGTTGAAGAACCCCACCCTCCCCAGACTAGGTTTTTCCATTTAACATGAAGTTTCGTGTCCCTGCATATTCTTTTTCACCCCTCCCTAAGCTCCCTCTCACCCAATCATTACAGCCGAGTCATGGAATGAAAACCGAAGGCGGCTGGTAAGATGATCCTGGACATCATCCGGATGCAAGTGAAGCATGAGCGCCTAATTCCTGAAGGGAGCAGGAGAATTAGGGTGGTGCTGAGCATCTATTCTGTTTCATTTGACATTCCATTAACTTACTCTCTCAATGGACGGGACGGGAGGTGCAACATAATTATAGCTCAGAATCTGAAACCTCTGGCACGTCTGAAGACTTATTAGCTTGGTGGCAGCTGGCTGAGGGGAGCACGGCAAGAGATCATCAGACTTCGTGCTTGCTGTACCCATTACGCTTCGTAATAAGCTGCGTGGGGGACTGGTGGAGTTCACCTTGGAGATTAAGGACACTGCCTCCGTGTAGCAAATGACTTTCCAAAAGCCCTGAGAGCAGAAACTTCCAAGGATGCTTCACAAGGTGAATCCATTTTGTATCAGACAAAACAACTGCTTTAAAACCTGGATGGAAGATGCACGACGCTGATTTTCTTCTTCGAGTGAATAGCGTTGCTGAAAACACAACCCCCTGTTCCCAGCAAGCCTCTTTTCTTGCACAGCTACTCAAACTGTCGTAGTGATTCACAGATCAAATTTCACTGTGAACAAGCGTTCAGCTGCAGCAAGCCCACAGGTCCTGCAGTTTTGACATGCCTTCGGCCCGAGGAGACAGCGTGCGTCTCCTGCCTGCACCTCCAAACAGCTGCTCCGGAACATGCAGGACACCATGTTTTCACAGAAGTTCTCAGGAAAATTAAATTGTCAGAAAATATCTGCACCCTCACCTTTAGGTATCAAAATAAATGGCCAGATTTTTCAAGAGCTCTCAGAAACACATCAGCAACTGGGGAATCTGAGAATTTGAAAAGTTGTCGCCAGTGCTTCACAACACTAAAACCAAACCCTTTAACGTGTCTCCCACTCAAGCTCATATCTCACCTTGAAGTCACATCAGATTTTATCTCTTTTGTAAAGAAGCAGATGTGTGAAAAGAGATGTAATAGCAAACCTCGATAATATGTTTCTCACAGAAAAATGGACATCTTGCTACCACATTGATTTAGTCTCTTGGAGACCGCTGGCTACCACAGACACAGCGTTCTGCTTGGAGAGAGAAGCTGACTCATTAAAAATTACAGAAGTCACAGTACCTAGACATTTAGATAAACTTAGGATGTACAGACAGACCTTTTAACTCCATTTTAATCTAATTAGCTCAGAGCTGGCAGCCAGATGGACAGTATTAGAGACGAGCACCCTCACTCAGATCACACAGCAGGCAGAGCATCAGGAGCTTGTCGTCCCCGTCCTTCGGACCTCGTGTCTGCGGGAGTCCGAGCCTGCTGCATTCGGGCTGTAGCCCCTGGCAAGGCTATGAACAGGTTACCTTTGGCCCTGCAGTACATTTAAGGGCCTGCTGGAACTGAATCGAGGCATGCGAGGAGACAAAACCAACCTGGCAGATGAAACCAGTGGACGAGCACTGCCGAACCCAGAGACTGAATTTCCTCTTTTTCCTCTTGCGCAGCTCCCTCTCTGTGCACGTGGCAATGAAAACAGGATCCTCGTCAATCAGGGGCTCGTGTAGTACCTGCAGTTGGCAAGAAAAGAGAGGGGAAGAAAGAAGACGATTGCTGAAAGAAATGGTGCATTAAATTCTCCCAAGGAAATACAATCCTCGCATTGTGCTTGTCCACGCCACCTCATACAGAGCAGCACAGCTACTTTTGTTCAGTGCTGCCACCTGACAAAACCCCCAAACTGGCCAAGCACGCTCTGTTGTGGGTGGCTGCTCGACAGACGTGTGGTTTGCAAATGTTCTCACTATCAGCTACAGTTTAACGTCCCTTTAAAACGTGGCAGCGTTAAGTGGGCAGAGGGGAAATCGTTAATGGCATCCTTCTCCAAGCTTCATCAGCTTAATCTTGCTTGGCAGAATGTCTTCCACCCAAACACCCCCTGCAATATTTTGTAAGGTACACTCCTTGGTTACAGCAAGGGAAAACACACAGCAAAGAGGGAGAGAAGTTAAGGGAGAAAAAGATATTTTCTGCTGCCACTTAAGGAGGCGGTGAAGAGACAGAAAACATTTTTCCTGGTGGCAGCAGCTTCAGGGAAGCCTCTCTTGCCTCAGGGGCTGAAAAATTTGACAAAAGGAGACAGAAAGATGCAGGACCAGAGACAAGAATAGAAAAAGACAAGGCAGACTGGAGCAGGTAATGAAAATCCGTGAAAGTGAAGCAATTCCTGCTTTCTGTATCCAGGTGATGTCAGTGGTTCCTTGTTCCTTACAGCTGTTTTGTTACTCCATTAATTCTGTAGCAAAGTCATTACGATTTACACTACAGAATCTATCTAAAGAAAAACGCTGCTACCTCCTTGCAGCTCACAGGTAGATGTGCATAACGAGTTGCTTAGCAAGTCACTCGTGAGAGTATAGATGCTTGGAAACTGTCAAAAGGTCTCAGCTGATGAAATGCTGGCCAAATTCAGACATCTACACCTAACTCCGAGCAACTCACTGCAGGCTCCCCTCGAGTACACGAGGGCAAAGCAGTCCCAGCAGGCCATAATTCACGCCCTCTCAAAGATATGTGATATCACAGAATGGTAGGGGTCGGAAGGGACCTCTGTGGGTCACCCAGTCCAACCCTCCTG